GGGCTCCAGGGATCCTTCTGCCTCAGCCTTCCAAGTAGCTGGAACTACAGGTGTGCGCTACCACACCCGACTAATTTTTTTGATTTATTGTAGAGATGAGGTCTCGCTTCCCAGGCGGGTCTCGAACCCGCAGGCTCAGGCAGTCCACTCACCTCAGCCTCCCAAGGCGCGGATTACAGGCTGAGCCACCGAGCCCAGCACCTCCTGTACCTAGTATATATTGTTTCCTTCTTTCTATTCTCACAGTGTCAGTTTTTTTTAAGAGCAGTGAATATGGGTCATTTTAATTTTTTTTATTTCAGACTTGGAGAGTAAAGCAGAAACCAAAGAGTCAAACTTAAAGAATGACATTTCATGGGAAAATCTACCCTGTGACGTGATGACAGAAAAGGCAACAAGAGGAAGCACCTTGTATTCCACCTTGGGAAGAGTCTCCAAATCTGATGCAATAGGGAGCCAGAAGGAAAACCAAGGAATGGGTCAGGGACAAATCTCCTTGCTCTGCAAGGAAGTGCTCACTCAGACGAGAAGCCAAGCATTTAACAGATTTGAGAAAGGAATTAATGTGAACTCAAAAGTTATGCCAGGACTAGTAGGTCCCCCAAGAAAGAAAGACCATAAATATGACACAACTGGAAAGAGAAGCAGATATAATTTAGATTTTATTAATCATTCAAGGAGTCATACAAAAATGAAAACCTTTGAATGTAATATTTGTGAAAAAATCTTCAAACAACTTATTCACCTTACTGAACACATGAGAATTCATACTGGAGAGAAACCTTTCAGATGTAAGGAATGTGGAAAAGCCTTTAGCCAAAGTTCATCCCTTATTCCGCATCAGAGAATCCATACTGGTGAGAAACCCTATGAATGTAAGGAGTGTGGGAAAACCTTCAGACATCCTTCATCTCTTACTCAGCATGTTAGAATTCATACAGGGGAGAAGCCCTATGAATGTGGAGTATGTGAGAAAGCCTTCAGCCAGAGCATTGGACTGATTCAGCATCTGAGAACTCATGTTAGAGAGAAACCTTTTACATGCAAAGACTGTGGAAAAGCATTTTTCCAGATTAGACACCTTAGGCAGCATGAGATTATTCATACTGGTGTGAAACCCTATATTTGTAATGTATGCAGTAAAACCTTCAGCCATAGCACATATCTAACACAACACCAGAGAACTCATACTGGAGAAAGACCCTATAAATGTAAGCAATGTGAGAAAGCCTTTAGCCAGAGAATACACCTTTCAATCCATCAGAGAGTCCATACTGGCGTGAAACCTTATGAATGTAGTCACTGTGGGAAAGCCTTTAGGCATGATTCATCCTTTGCTAAACATCAGAGAATTCATACTGGAGAAAAACCTTATGATTGTAATGAATGTGGAAAAGCCTTCAGCTGTAGTTCATCACTTATTAGACACTGCAAGACACACTTAAGAAATAACTTCAACAATGATATGTGAAATAAACTCAACATCAAAGAACCTTTATTTGGAGCAAAAGCCTCTAAATCAGTGGCTCCCTGACTTATAGATTTCAAAAAACAATCATTTAAAATGAGTTGGTGCAATGTTGCCAAGTATTAGTTTTGTCATGTTAAAAAACAAAGGCCTATTAGCACCATTTCAGAAAAGACAGCATTTTAGCATAGGAAGGCTATAATTATTGTGAGGAAGAGCCCTTTGTATTGAATTAAATCAACTTTATGAAAATCTTCCAAATTTGTCTTTACTTGTCTCACTTCACTATGGGCCAGTGGGAATTTCATGTTAGGTGTAATCTGTGGATCGGCTTCTGAAAATCACTGTTTTAAATATCCCTTCAATGAATCAGAATAAAATATAGTACCTTTTTATTATAGCCTTTTATATGGCTAGAAGTATAAACAAATGTAGGTCTTGTAATTTCTAGAAAAAATGATGAGAGCTTTCTAGAACTGATAGATAGCCGATACATAAGATACTTATTTATATTTTATGGTTTCCTATAAAGTTTGCAAGAAGTGGCACACTTTCTGTAAAGGGCCAGATTGTAAATATGTTAGATGTGAACTGAATGGTCTCTGTCACAACTACTCAACTCATATTTTACTACAAATCACCCATTTAGTACATAAACTAGAGCATCTGAACCTTGGCAGTGCTGATATTTTGTTCTAATACTTTGCTATGGGCATCTGTCCTGTACCTTGTGGGATGTTTAGCAGCATCCCTGGCCTCTACCCATAACATGCCTTATCTAGATGCCAGTAGCCCTCACCCTAATTGTGACAACCAAAAACACCTCCAGACATTGCCACATATTCCCTGGAGGCTAAAATTTTCCCTGGTTGAAAACCCACAAATGAACATGTATTATAGTATTCTAATAAACTTCACTTAGAAAAACAGACACTAGGCCGGGTGTGGTAGCTCAGCCTGTAATCCCAGTACTTTGGGAGGCCGAGGCAAGAGGATTGTCTGAGCCCGGGGGTTCGAGACCAGCCTGGGCAACTTGGTGAGACCTTGTCTCTACAATAAATCACACAAAAAAGCTAGCCAGGCATGGTGGCATATGCCTGTAGTTATAGCTACTGGGAAGACTGAGGAGGAAGGATTGCCTAAGCTCAGCAGGTTGAGGCTGTGGTGGCCGTGAGTGTGCCACTGCACTCCAGCCTGGGCAACAGAGTGGGACTCCAACTCAAAGAAAAATAGGCATTGGGCTACATTTAGCCTGAGGGCAATAGTTCTACCATATATATCCATAGTATTCTATATAATACTGTGATTACTTAGAATGATTAGTAATGGCAACAGACTATCATATAATGTCGAATTAGTATGTTTGTGTATATGCCATAAGTCTTATTTCCTTAGCAATTCCTTTAGTATTTTGTTGGAGTAACTAAAAAAAACACACATACATACATTTTTAATACGGTCTTGGAATCTAGGAGATTTTTGAGACATTTGTGCAGACTTTGATCTATAATGGATTTTTTGTTCATTAATATTTTTGGATATATCTCTAAAAGATGAGCAATCTTTTAAAACAGCCACAATGCCATTGCACCTAAAAAGTTAATCTTATGGGCTGGGTGCAGTGGTTCGAGCCTGTAATCCCAGCACTTTGGGAGGCCAAAGTGAGAGCATTACCTGAGCTCAGGGATTTGAGACCAGCCTGGGCAACTTGGTGAGACCTTGTCTCTACAATAATTCAAAAAATTAGCCAGACGTGGTGGCACTTGCCTGTAGTTCTGGCTACTTGGAAGGCTGAGGCAGGATGATCACCTGAGCCCAGTAAGTGGAGGCTGTGGTGGCCATGAGCATACCGTTGTACTCTAGCATGGGCGACAGTGAGATTCCAACTAAAAACAACAAAAAAAGTTAACCATAATTCTTTAAAACAATGATGCCTTTTTGAAGATAGGTATAGCCAATGATGCCCTTTTGAAGATAGGTATAACCATTTTAGTTTTTTTTTTTTTTAACTCCCTTTACCAAGCATTAGTATTAGATTTGATAACAGGCTTTCTATGAAGTCAGAATGTCTTTAAAATAGCCCCTAGAACATCATATCAAATAGTCTACCAAAGCCCAGGGAAAAGTGACTGCAAGAGCCATACTGAGGCAGGGAAGTGTGAGAGAGGAAGTGGAGGAACCGAATCCTAGTACTTCACTACACTTAGTTAAATAGACACTGCATTCTTTCAGACAATTGAAAGTAAGCCAAGTTCAACTTTGTACTGTCTTATGTGGAGAAAGAACAAACAGGTCAATTGCCTGAATATTGTAAGTGTGAACTGTTCAAAGTAAAGTTGTAAATCCAGACTATATACTAGTATCTCCAGAATTTTTTCTATTACTACATTTACTAAAAAAACAACACCTAAAACAACAACAACAAAAACTGGCCTCTAATTCTTAAGTCCTAGTATTACTGATGGGCAGAAAAAGAGTGGGAAACACACTTTCTACCATGTTTCTGTGGTCTTAGATTTCCCAAGAATTTGGACTTGTCTGATTGCTTATTTCAGTGAAAGACTTGACTATCACTTTTTAAAAATAGTCCCTGCCTCTGGTCTCATATAGTCTTGTGGCTTAAAATACCATCTCTTTTTAAAAACTATCAAATTTGCATCTTCACCCCACACCTCTCCTGAACTACAGCCTTGTTCCTATCTTTGGGCGTTTTCACTAGCTGTTCCAGATATCCTACACCCTTACCTTATCATCTTTGCTCAAATGTTGCCTTCTTAAGCCTTTCCTGACATGCTATTTAAGACTGTCACCTTAGCCAGGCACGGTGGCTCATGCCTGTAACCCCAGCACTTTGGGAGGCAGAGGTGAGAGGATTGCCTGAGTCCAGAGGTTTGAGATCAGCCTGGTCAACTTGGCAAGAATTCGTCTTTACAGTAAATCAAAAAATTAGCTGGGCATGGTAACGCACGCTTGTGGTTTCAGCCACTTGGAAGGCTGAGGCAGAAGAATGACTTGAGCCCAGGAGGCTAAGGTTGTGGTGACTGTGAACATGCAACTGCACTCCAGCATGGGCCACAGAGTGAGACTCCTCAAAAAAAAAAAAAAAATACTGCAGCCTGTCTTTAGCACCCAAGTCCAACATTCCCAACCCCTCTTCACTTGCTCTACTTTTATTTTTTCATATCACATATCGCCTTCTAACACCCTAGGTACTTTACATTTTTATTTTGCGTATTGTTTACTATTGCTTCCTTCCACTATAATGTCAGTTTCATGAGGGCAGGGGTCTTTGTTTTTTTCACTAATGTATCACAAGTGCCTAGAACAGTGACTGGCACACAGTAGGCACTAAATGTTTGTTGAATTGATTTTAACTAATTTGAACTATGTATCCACAATGACAAGAAAGAAACACAATTCCTATACTTTCATACCTAAATTTTATAAGTGAGGAAATCTTACTTTTTTGTTTGTTTCCTTTGCAAGTGGACCAATATTTATAGACCTCTAAAAACTGAGAATCATAACTGACATACTTCAAGATAGAAAGGTATTTTTAGATTGTTAAAGATGCATTTAAATATAGCTGATTGAAGAGATGCATGTGTTTCTTTGTTTTGTGAACCTGACTGTATAAACAAAATAGGGTGTATAAAAGACAATGGGGGAGAATACAGCAGCAGACGAGATGTCAACAAGTTTTTGGTAGTGAGAAAACAGAAGAGTGGTGACTGGCTTAGCAGAACCTACAGAAAAGTATACTTGCCAAAGGAGCTGAAGGCTTAGAGGCCTTGAGACATTGGGCATCATAGAATACAAGAGGTTCAAAATGGGGATTTGTTGCCATTCCGTAGTTCAATCCCTAGGTCCCCTCACCTACCCCATACAGTCAGCTGCTATGCTCACATTCCTCCATCATGCCTTTCTTAATCACATTGCCCTTTCCTCAAACCAAAGAAGACTTGAGGTTTATTCTCTAGAGAAGGACCAGAGTTGCTCTGGAATCTGGGATACCAGACAGTAGAGATTAGGGATAAGAGATAGGGCTGAAATGAGGGCACGTGTGTCTGTACATTGAATTGTGGGGCCCTCAGTCTCCTTTCTTAGTGAAAGCCAGGCTTTCACCCCTTTAACCATCTCCCACTCAACCCAGCAGGGGATTGGAGGAATCCTCTGGAGAAACTGGATGACTGTAAAAAGGTACTGACATTTGTGGATACCTCAGTGAAAAATCAAGGTCAATAGCCAAAACACCCAAGCTCCATAAAGAGAAGAGAAAATTAATGGTAGGAAATACATACATACACACAAGACAATTTTTCAGAATTGAAAGACATTAATATTTATGTCATGTGTGACATGTTAACTCATTTAATTCTTTTTTCTTTTAGTTGGAGTCTCACTCTGTCACCCAGGCTGGAGTGCAGTAGCACACTCACAGCCACCCCAGTGTCGACCTGCTGGGCTCCGGTGATCCTTCCACCTCAGGCTTCCAAGTAGCCAGAACTACAGGTGCATGCTACCGTGCCCAGCTAATTTTTGATTTATTGTAGACATGTGATCTTGCCAAATTTCCCGGGCTGGTCTCGAACCTGCAGGCTCAGGCAATCCACTCACCTCAGCCTCCTAAAGTGCTGGTATTACAGGCTGAGCCACCGAGCCTGGCCCACATTTAATTCTTAAAACAATCTGATGTGGATACTACAATATTCCCATTTTATAGATGAGGAAATAGAGACATTCAGCAGTTGAACAAGTAAGGACACCCTGGTAAAGTAAATGGGATTTGAATCCAGGCAATCTGCTTCCAAAAAGAACCCACATCAAGGAACATCATTATGAAGTATTAAATCTACAGAGCAAAGAAAATATCATTAAGGTTTCTAAAGCAAGATTCACTATATAGGAAGCATAAAAGCTTTATGTTGCTGGCAGCAATAATCAAGCTATGTCATCAACATTTTGAGAAAAATTACTTTAAGCCTACAGTTCTATGCCCAGTCAACCAATCAAGTGTGAGGGCAAAATAAAGACTTTTTTTTAAAGATATACCAGCAGTCAAAATTAACCTTCTCTGCACCCTTTATTAGGAAGTTGCAGGAGGATGTGCTCCATCAAAACGAGGGAGTAAACAAGAAAAGGTGTCAAAGGATCTGGAGAACAGGTGCCTCCAACCAGGAAGGCAAAAAAGAGATTCAGTTTCTATATTCATAAAATGAGATATTAATACCTAGTGTCTGAGATTTATATAGAAA